TGTGTGTGTGTGTGTGTGAGACTGTGTGTGTGTGTGTGTGTGAGACACTGTGTGTGTGTTTCAGAGGGTACTACCCTAAAGGTGGGGGGGAGGTGATGGTGACGGTGAACCCGGTCAAAGAGCTTCAGCCAGTCATCATGACAGAGAGAGGAAACATCACCAAGATCTATGGCCGGGCGTTTGTCGCTGGAGTCCTGCCCTACAAAGTAAAGCCCTGCCCTTCAAAATAAAGTTACCACTGTTACACAGACAGGAAGTGATGTCGTACTGATCGTATTGATGGTACTGATGGTTGTTCTCGTGTCTTCAGTTGGCTAAAGACATGTCATCGGCTGCTGTTCGGACCATCAGGAAGGAGATCAAAGAGCTGTACATCAACATCCCGGCGCTGCAGGAGAAGGAGAAGGCCTGTGGGAACGGCAACGGCATCATGTAAGCCCCGCCCACCTGATGACATCACCGCTGGTTATAAGTGAAAACAGTGACGAAGGTTACGATATCGTAACCCTGGTTCTATGAGCACAGGCGGAGCCCTCTGCTGGGCTCTGTGGGTCGTTTTCTCCTCCAATCACGAACGAGCATAGTCGGCCAATCAGGACCGAACCAAGAAACCTCCTGCATTCTCTCTAGTGACCACCAGGGGGCGACTCCTCTGGTTGTATAGAAGTCTATGAGAACATGACTCTACTTCTCTCTTGATTTATTACCTCAGTAAACATTGTAAACATGAGTTTATGGTCTCAATCTCTAGTTTCAAGTCTTCTTCAATACAGCATGATGTTCATTTAGTAAACTATGGTCCATTTAGAGTCACACAGACCATAAAGCAGGGGATGCTTTAGGGCGGGGCTACACAGTGATTGACAGGTCTCTACCAGAGACGTATACGTCACTCCTCAGTCCAGATATGGTCACTTCCTGTTCAATTGAATTTATTTTTGTATAGCCCAAAATTACAAATTAGCCTCAGAGGGCTTTACAGTCTGTACACATACGACATCCTCTGTCCCAGGACAGTCGCATCAGAACAGGAACAACTCCCCAAAAAACCCTTTAACAGGGAGAAAAGAGAGACCGTAGAGAGCAACAGAGGATTCTCTTCATCATCATCCTCTATCACAGTGATTCTCAACCCGTCTTCAGTGGGTCGCGGGCCTTTGCCTGACAAAAAAAAAAAAAGTGATTTTATTTTGAAGGGCATTTTTTATGCAGCGGAATTATTCCAGCATTTACAGCACTTGTTCAGCGGTGCAGGAAAAACACAGACCAATGTGTTGGTGAATCACATCACGTGATGCAGCTCAGCCAATCAAATATGGGTATTCTGACAAGTTTCCTGACTCAGTGAAATGTTCACACACCGTGACACACGGAGAGAGACGAGGAGAGAGAGAGCAGAGCAGGACTGTTGAAGTGTGAAAGTCAAATCATAGAACGATCTCCAAAAGAGAAGATGTCCAGAGAGACCAGAGTCATTAGACTCTGACTGGACAGACTCGGAGGTGAATTCTTCCAACACTCATTTCTCTTTTTAGAAGATGAGAAAAATATAATATTGTGAATTTTTCACTTCACCCTGAATGAACTGAGTTTAAAGCTGCAGGGCAATTCAGTGAAAATAACTTTTCTAAAATGAATTTCGTTACGTAATTTATTTATTAATCCAGCCATTATTTTACTTGAAATGAGAAGAACATTTATTCATGTATTTCTATGTATTATTTATAATCCATCCAGTTACATTTGAAAAATTTGAATAATATTTGTTAAAATATAATTGATGTGTACTTTCTTTATTTGATTTGACAGTTGTTTACTACACAGAGATGTTACTACTGCTAGACTTCTTGAATGAATGAATATATATATAAATAAATAATTTGGGTCGCGGCTTGTCATTAAGGGGTGATGGTGGGTCCCGCAGCCAGACCAGTTGAGAACCACTGCTCTATCAGGATGGACGATGTCATGTGTACAGAATGAACAACGTAACAGAGTTACAACACATTCAATGGTTCACAGGTTGATTAAAAAAAACAAGATGGCGACGGCAAAATCGCCGACCCGGAGGCTTCAAAACGTCACAAACCAAAGAGTGATGACTACGTCCATGAATGGCAGTCTACACTTCTTGTGATTGGAGGAGAGTGTTGCCCGTAGAGGGCGGAGCCTGTATGAGTTAGAACTGGATGTTTAAACTTGGTGTTTCCCACGTGCAGTGAACACATCCTCACAGCTCTCTGATTGGTTCTTCTCCCGTCTGTTTCAGAATAATCGCAGAGTCGTCGACAGGTTGTGTGTTTGCAGGTTCAGCTCTGGGGAAGAAAGGTGAGGACGTCACCTGAAACTCTTTAAACGTCTTCATTTGTACATGAAGTCTGGTCTGTAGACTCTTGTATACTGACGTGTGTGTGTGTGTGTTTCAGGTGTGTATGTAGATAAAATTGGCATTGAAGCTGCTGAGATGTTGCTGAGAAACATCAGACACAACGGCTGTGTGGACGAGTTCCTGCAGGACCAGGTGAGACACACCTGCTGACCTCCTCTGACCCTCTGATGTACGGTTTCATACAAAGTCCTCTAACCCTCCTCTTCCTCCTCAGCTCATCATCTTCATGGCGTTGGCAAAGGGAACGTCTCGGATTCGAACCGGCCCCGTGACGCTGCACACACAGACCGCCATTCACATCGCAGAGCAGCTGACTCAGGTAGGAGACAGAGGGTCATAGACACACTAATATACGTGTGTGTGCGTGTATATATGTATGTGTATACATATATACATATGTATGAATATGTACTATTTTATTCTGTAGATATTAATGTTTGTTTCTATTTGCAGGCAAAGTTCACAATAACAAAGTCTGAGGACGAACTGAGCAGCAACGAGACGTTCATCATCGAATGTGTAGGATCAGGAGCAGCTAACAAACACCTGTAGACACACACTGAACACACACACCTATAGACACACACACCTGTAGACACACACACTCTCCACCTGCTCCCACCCCCCCCCCCCCCCCCCCCCCCCCCCCCCCCCCCCCCCTCCAACCTTCAGCTTCTGTCTCTCAGGGTGTTTCATTAAAACTGTAATAAATAAATGTCTGTTTCTGTTTTTGAATCGTGTGTGTGTGTGTGTGTGTGTGTGTGTGTGTGTGTGTGTGTGTGTGTGTGTGTGTGTGTGTGAGTGTGTGAGTGTGTGAGTGAGTGAGTGTGTGAGTGAGTGAGTGAGTGAGTGAGTGAGAGAGAGAGATATATGGAGACAGGAGGATGATAGCTTAGCCATCACCCTCCTGTCTCCCTCCACCGTATCCAGTGGACACCCTAGCACACTGCTGCCTTCTTGATGAGTTTGTTGAGTCTGTTCCTGTCGGCTGTCGAGATGCTGCTGCCCCAACAGACCACTCCATAGAAGATGGCTGATGCCACCACAGAAGAAGAAGGTCCTCAGGAGAGCTCCCTGCACTCCAAAAGACCTGAGTCTCCTCAGCAGAGAGTCTGCTCTGACCCTTTTTGTAAAGTGTGTGTGTGTGGTCAGTCCAGTCCAGTTTATTGTTCAAGTGAACACCGAGGTACTTATAAGATCTCACGATCTCAATGTCCGTTCCCTGGATGTTCACTGGTACCAGAGGAGAGTGAAGTCCACCAGCAGCTCTGGTTTTATCAGAGTTGATCTAAAGGCGGTTCCACTGGCATCCTATAAAGCCCTGGTTCAGTTCCCTGTATTCCCCGTCATCACCGGCAGAAATGAGGCATCATCAGAGGGTGAGAAGAGAACGCGAGGAGTGAACGAGAGGGTCTAACGCGAGGAGTGAACGGGAGGGTCTAACGCGAGGAGTGAACGGGAGGGTCTAACGCGAGGAGTGAACGAGAGGGTCTAACGTGAGGAGTGAACGGGAGGGACTAACGCGAGGAGTGAACGGGAGGGTCTAACGCGAAGAGTGAACGGGAGGGTCTAACGCGAAGAGTGAACGGGAGGGTCTAACGCGAGGAGTGAACGGGAGGGTCTAACGCGAGGAGTGAACGGGAGGGTCTAACGCGAGGAGTGAACGGGAGGGTCTAACGCGAGGAGTGAACGGGAGGGTTAGGGTTAGAAGCAAAGTTAGTAATATTACTAACTTTGCTTCATATGTGCATGAATTCATACAGAAGGAGAGATAGAAGAGGAGAGAGAAGCGCAGTTTATCTTAAGAAGTCAATAGGAGTCTAGGTCTATAGCAGCTTATCTAGTGGCTGGTCCAAGGCAAACCTGAGCCAGCCCTCACTATAAACCTGAGCCAGTCCTAACTATAAACCTGAGCCAGCCCTAACTATAAACCTGAGCCAGCCCTAACTATAAACCTGAGCCAGCCCTAACTATAAAACTGAACCAGCCCTAACTATAAACCTGAACCAGCCCTAACTATAAACCTGAACCAGCTCTAACTATAAACCTGAACCAGCCCTAACTATAAACCTGAACCAGCCCTAACTATAAACCTGAACCAGCTCTAACTATAAACCTGAGCCAGCCCTAACTATAAACCTGAGCCAGCCCTAACTATAAACCTGAACCAGCTCTAACTATAAACCTGAACCAGCCCTAACTATAAACCTGAACCAGCTCTAACTATAAACCTGAACCAGCTCTAACTATAAACCTGAGCCAGCCCTAACTATAAACCTGAACCAGCCCTAACTATAAACCTGAACCAGCCCTCACTATAAACCTGAACCAGCCCTCACTATAAACCTGAACCAGCCCTAACTATAGACCTGAACCAGTCCTAACTATAAACCTGAACCAGCCCTCACTATAAACCTGAACCAGCC